GGATCCACGCTGGAGTCGCCCGCTGTTAAAAGCTGCGCCTTTGGGAGGCGAAAAATACTTCTGCAGCCTCTTTTTTTAAAGTATTCTGGTTTATTGGGGGTTTTTTTTACTTTACGAGATCTGAAGTTGCCATCCTTCAAAACGGCGAAGATGTCGGAAGCCGGTGGCTGAGACCTGGTGCGGTGGCTCTGAAGCAGAGAGAAAACTGCTGCTGATGCGCAACCCCCGCACTTGCCTGTCTTCGGGTTGATATTAAACACCTTTCATCCCAACGATGAAAGTTTTCCAAAAACAGTCGTATTCAACTAAACTAACATTAAGGTCTTGATGCCCTTCTTGGGAAGGGTTGAGTTCCCCAGATACCTCTGGGGAAGATCTCGGCCTTTGGGGGTTTTTTCCTTTCCTTAAAATACTGACTTTTTTTTCAGTAGAACAGGCACAGCGAGGGAAGCTGCGGTGAATATTTTCCCATCCTGCTGCTGTGCCTCAGAATTGGCCGGGATCTGTCTCTCTCAGCCCCCCCACCCCCCTTTTTTTTCTCTCTGCTTCCCAACTAAAAATACAAAGCTGAAATTCCTGATTATTTTCTAATTATTGTTACATGCAGAACTGAACAAGAACGAAAGATTGAGGTGTTCAAGCTTTGCTCGGAGCCCTGTCTAAGCAAAACAGAAGTTTATTTTGCACTGACCAAGTAGGATTTTATTTTAATCATAATCAAAATAAAAATTTTATTTTAGAACAAATGTGTATAACAGTGAATTTATTTCTACTCGGGCACAAATTTCTCAGCACTACTGCTAACAGTAACGATCCATCTTTCTATTTGAATGTGTAGAAAAGGAGCTCTGTACGTTAATTGGAAATACTTATTTTGTACTTAATTATCCTGAATTGTTAGTGGCTAAAGCACAGGAATACTTAACGTAGAGATGCAGGTCGTTCTCCAAAGACATAATGCAATAAACACCATGCTGATATGAAGTTTTGTTCCAGGTGTTTAGATTGTGCCGTAGCCCTAAAGGTATAACACCGTGCGTGGTTTTTAATTTGATCAGCTGTTAGCTACTAATTTTCCTTGTCCTTTCTCTTTTTTTTGGTAAGTCTGCAGTGTCACTTTAAGTCAGTGTAAACTTTGCCCTCAATTTCAGCAGGAGCAGACTGCTATGCTCAAATAGCTCACTGGAAAACAAGCAAACAAAAAAATTCCCTAGCGTGGACCTAAGTAACGTCATAAAAACGATTCCCCTCTGCCCCCTTACGCAGTTTCTACCTTCCCTGTAGAGAATTTCTGTAACACAACAGATGTGGTGATACAACCGTAGCCGTGTTACACGGGTAAAGCAGCACAGCTTTGTAATACTGTGTACACTTAGGAGGTTAGGAAGCTAAGTGCCTTCGATTCCTTCTACCTTTGGGAAATGAGAATGCCCTGGGAGAATTCAGACCTTAAATCTGCATTTATGAAGAGAATGAGAAGGTGAGAAGGTCTGTGGCACAGCTTTGATTGGCGTAAGAAGTCTAGTCCTGTCTTCCACACTGTTAATGTACCCAACAAAGAGACCTTAGGGATGACACTGCATAGATTGTGTTCTTGTACAAATGCGTATGTGTATGTACATAACAGTGACAGATCTGTGCTATGAAATTTCTACTGCTGAACTAGCGCTGGTACTTGCCCATCAATGACGTCTGCCATAGAAATGCTAGATTTAGCCATCTGTTGGCATTCTTACAGGTTGTCTAACCCTGCACATTGATAAAATTGTATGCGTTCTTACAAACGATTAGGGAAAGGTTCAATATAAGCCCAGCCCAGCATGATTAGAGCATATTTAGTTGAAGATTTGAAGTGGCTAAAACGCTTTTGGGTTGAACCAGTTTTTAATCTGTTTCCAGTTAACTTGGTATGAACTCGTACAGACAGATTCAGCTTTCAGATTGTTTCTGTGTCAGTTCCCTTACCTAAAAATGTTTGCCTTCCCTAAAAATGTTGCTGTCAATCCGCAATGCAAACGGGAATTCCACTGGTTGGAGGGTTATTCTTTGTTTGTTTCACAGGTTCTAGATGGAGCAGGATTAGATGTTGATTTTCATCTACTGTCTCCAAAAGGTGAAACTCTAGTTTTTGATGAAAGAAAATCAGATGGAGTTCATACGTAAGTTTAAAATCTTCAAACTTACAAGTGTTACATAAGGTACTTTTCTGGTTTCTTTAACAAATATAACTAAAATAAAGGTTGATTACTTTTTATTTCTTAGTATTATAAAAGACCTTCTAATAGGACAGTTTGAGAATACCAGTTACCTTTTTATAAACACTGAATGCTTTTTACATGGATCCGACCATGAAGTGAAGGATATTTTTGTTTTAACGATAGCTGTTAATGGTCAGTGAATGAAAATAATTATTGTGGAGTTGAAAAAGGTCTCCACATCTAATTTCAAAAGATCTTGTCAGTCATATAAATAGTAAGCTGAAACGTCCCCTATTTTTCCAGTCCTTTTATCAAGATATGTAGTAACTATTGTAATTTTACTATAGAGTGTAAGAATTCTACTCATAATATAGCGCTTTTGTAATGATTAACAATGATTCAAAATCCCTATAAAGGAAAACGAAAGTAAGCTGCTGTCTTCATCATTTTAAGCCTTTAGACTCGGTGGGATTGTTTTGCTGTGACTGTGCAATCTGTAATGTGTCTTTAGAGTTCTTATTTTTATATAAAAAGCATATTATTTCTAAGTGCATGATTGTCAGTCTTAGAGAGGAAAGTTTGCTTACAAAAACTTGCTTTTTGAGAACCAGCACAAAAAGTGTAGTTAATTTAATGACATTTTGCTTATGTACACAGGGTGGAAGCAGAAGATGGGGATTACATGTTCTGCTTTGACAACACATTCAGTACCATTTCTGAAAAGGTGATTTTCTTTGAACTGATCCTGGACAATATGGGAGAAGACGGACAAGATCAGGAAGACTGGAAGAAGTACGTTACAGGCACAGATCTCCTAGATATGAAATTGGAAGACATTCTGGTTAGTGTTTGATCTTTAATTCTTTTCAATGTAAGAACATTCAGAAAAAACCTCAACGTTATTTAGCCATTCTGCCTTGGTCTGGTGCATCATCCTGGAAGCTGTTCCAGTTCCATATATTGCTTTTACTGATACATGAAGCCTAGCACCATGGATCTCTTGCTTCCACACAGAAGCTTGAGAATATTTTCAGAATAGACACTTAATCAGCAAGAAGAAACTGCCCAGCTCTCAAAGTCACTGTTTCCAATTCAGCTTCCTTTCTTCCTACTGCTAAAATGGGACATTCTTCCCTAGCAGCAATGAAATGAATATTTGTAGTATTAAAGTATTGCTTAATCCCAATGATGTAGTTGAAATCACTGCATAGATTTTTATCAATGTTTGAAAATAAAGTACTGTGTTAGCCTCCTCTTTCCATCTTTGCAGAAGTGCCCCAACCAGTGTATGGGTTAATATTTCTATCCTCAATAATTTATATATTACTCCCCCCCCAATTTTATTTCATCTTTTCAAACTAATAAACAGGACAGGAGTTAATCTGTACCACACTGCAGGTTCACCTTTGCAGGCATTCTATGAATGGTAATGTTTGCTTAAACTGTACGCTGACCCTACTTGATGTAGGATGAAGACTACGGCTGAGTCAAAGCTTTTATTTCCTTTCATGATCATTAAATGTTGAGATTACACTAGAAGCAGGGGATCGTTTGGTGTTCCTGTACCACTGTTCTTAGTGCTTGGAGGGATGCAGTAAACCATTGTTTGTTTGCTCGTAGCTACAGACAACAGGTATCTTAAAAACAAACAACCAACATCTACAAACACTTACTGATACACTGGTGTAGAGAATGACAGTGTTTGTATTCTATTTATTGCAATAAACAAAATGCAGATTTTTAAACAACAAAACAAACTTAATGTTTAAGATCTTTTATAGGTGTACAATGCACTTTTAAATAGTTAAAACCAAACATGGAATCTGAAAAGCTGGCCAGATCTTCTTTAAAACTGGCAATCAAGACAATTAGAAAAAACAAAGTTTATAGGTGAAATTGTGAAGAAAATCCTTCTCGCACTAATCACAAGCAATACTTGAATGGAGTTGGTAGCTACTTGGGTACATACTGGTATCTCTCCCAGAAGAAAAGCAGAACTTGTCTTTATTCAAGAGCCTTGCAGATCTTACAAAGTAGGTAAGTTTTGTAAAGTTAACACTAGTATTTGATGCCATTGTTTACTTAGTCAAGTTACTACTTTACTTGCAAGTTCTGTGAGGACTTACATAAACACTTAGTAGTTTAACTTTTTAAAGATAAACAACATATTTGCTGGGGGAAGTGGGGAATTGTGTCTTATTTTTAAAGCTCTTCTATGGTGTCGATGTTTCTTATTATGCAACATATGAACTTTAGTATCATCATAAAATTATTTGGCTTCCAAAAGTAGCTCTTTTGAAATATTTGTTAAATATGCAACAGAGAAAATGTCTATGGAGGAAATGTTACTGCTGGGTTTAACTTTTTTTTTATAGCTTCCTGTTACTACACACATTACTCTGCTCACTAGAAGTTACTTCAGGGTCCCATAATTATGTCAAGAACATAAATCAGCACTTCATGAGATCAGCTTTTAGGTTGTGACTATCTATTACGTTGTGGATGAAACTTGGACAGATTATAGGACCAGGTTTTTACTTTGTGAACGCAGAATAAGGAGTGGATCTTGAGCTGCTGTTGTTATGGCCAGAGTGTTCATGTACTTCCTCTGGTTCCCTGAGACACACACAGTGTGTCCTTCGTAGGACCTCCAGTTGTCCAATTCACAATTTATTGTCAAAATTCAGCTTTAGTATCAAAGCTGAAACAGCACTTTATAGCCACTACAGTGAAAGCATAAAAAGAAGATGGGAATATAACATTACTGTACTTCTTTTCTTTTGCTACAGCTATAGTTTGGTAGTTTGCATTAAGAAGTGCCTTAAATTGATTATCCAGCAGAAAAAAACCCTACATTTGTCTGCTACTGCATAACTTGTTTTGAGTCTAGTTCTGTAAGAGATCACTGCTTTTTACTTGTCGAATACCTGGAATATTAAAAAACTAATTTTAGGTTTGATTTCTCTCTCCCCTCCCTAGCCTGTAAAAGGGAAAAACCAAATTACTACAGAACCTTAATGCTATGTTAATTAAGCCTTTTTAGGATGTTAATTAAGCCTTTTTAGGTGATACACAATAAACAGGCTGACAAATTAATGAAGACTGATGAGATATATATTTTAAAGTGAAATTAACTGTGTACTTGGCAAGAGATTAAATTACAGGTGGTAATACAGTATTAATATTCCGTATGTGTTGCAAGCTATAAATTTAATTCAGATGTTCTTTTTTCTTCTAAAAATACTCTTTTGTTACTTACCAGGAATCCATCAACAGTGTCAAAGCCAGATTAAGCAAAAGTGTCCAGATTCAGACCCTGCTCAGAGCGTTCGAGGCTCGTGACCGAAATATACAAGAAAGCAACTTTGACAGAGTGAATTTCTGGTCCATGGTCAACTTGGGAGTAATGGTGGTGGTATCAGCTGTTCAGGTTTACATGTTGAAAAGTCTCTTTGAAGATAAGAGGAAAAGTAGAACTTAATGTTCAGCATGATCATAAGAATATAAGAGGTATGGGGGGAGAGGGGGAGCAATAAACTACTACAGTAAAGGGGGAAAAAAAATGACCTTTCAGATTCTTTTGAACAGGCAGTAGACATCAGGTTTTCAATTCACGTTGGGCGTTTTGGTTGTTTTTTGGTGGTGATGGTCTTGTTTGCTTTTGTTTTGGTTTTTTAACATGAACAGAATGTGTTGCCCCAAGCTCTTCCATTTCTGCAAGTGCTACTAACAATATCTTTTTTGTACTTGTAGCATTTGTTAATGACTAACTTACGCATAGCGCACAGGATGCTTGGTGCATATGCAAAGTAATGTTAATACTGTCATTTTTTCACGTTCACCTAAAACTTTAAATGGTAACTTAGACATTGGTTTATTTGCTGTTAAACGTTGAGTGAATTTGCATACGTGCCTAAGTGTTCACAGGATTGAGGACCAGGGGGGTAGTCTGTAGTTACTGTCATTTATCTTCAAAGTTACGTGTTTTTAAAAATCCTCAGCTTTTGTTGTGCAGCATCGTGGAGAAACACTGGGCTAACATTGCGAAAACAAAATGAGAACTCTTTTTATATACAGATGACTAACATCAGCACTTTAAAAAAAGCACCATCAATGTGAAATTGAGTCAGTGTTGAAAAGAATTGGAGAAAATAGGTGCAATTCCTGTTCGTAAATCTTTGTCCTGCAGTTTTACAACCCTATTTTCCTTTTTGGCTGTTACATGAGATTCAAGAGACGAGTGACTATATGGTATACAAACAAATGCACATACACCTTGAAGTATGGTTTGCAAACTCTTAGTTACTGTAACCTCATGTAATAAGAATTTTCAAGAAGTCATTTCTCGCATTATTCTTTCCCTTTTATTAAAGGGGGAGTGTCATAATGTGAAAACATTACCTTAACATTAATTTTTGTAGTCTCAAAATCCCTTTTATTTGCAAATTATTTTTTATTAGTTTTTGTCTACTATGTCTATGACTAATGTAGCAGTTAATAGGGTGATTTACATAGGCATGAAGAACCAAAGCTGTTCACTTAAACTTCCCCTTTTTGCTCACGCTCACAAGTCTTTTAGCTGTGTAAGTACACTCGGTTCATATGAGCAGTGTTTCTATATCTAGCTGTTTATATGAGTAAGGCATGAATTACACGAGCAATAAGTACAGGCTTCAAATTTTAGGATCAACTGAATATGTAATATCACTTAACTAAGGCAAAGCTATCCTCAAACCAGTAATTTGTAATTTCTAGATAAAGTGGCTTTTAACAGTGTAGCGAGGGCATGGAGAATTTTTGCAAAAACCCCTGGTGTATGAGAATTAACTCTTCTTAATAGTTCAGCGTTAGCCATTTTTACAATGTGCCAAGTCACTGAAGTTTCCTGTATAAGTGTGGTAAACTACATTTCATCACAAGTGTTTTTAAAAAATACTTTCTTAAAAAACACTTTTTTAAAGAAGTGTTTTAAAAAAGTGTATGTATTAGTGTTTTGCCTGTTGTTGGGTCATCTGGGTATGAACACCGGAATTGCAACTTTGAGACTTTCTGTGATTAAAAATTATTTTATGGAGATAAAACAGGGTCAATAAATGCATGAAGAAACACTTTGTTCAAATGAAGCAGATGCTAGCAAGGGCTACAGTACATAGAAACAGCACTTCAACTTCAAACAATGGGACCTAGCAATAATATTTCTAAGTAGTTTTTATAAGCAAGAGTATTGTTCCTTACAGAACTCCTTACAGGCACCAAAGCCTGTTGATCTACTTCTTTCTGCAAAGTTGTGTCCAAAATAAGATTGTTTCCCTTTAGGGTTCTGCATATCTTTTTCCACATAATGCTTTCTATTCTAAACTGCCTGGAATTAGAAAGCTTATTTCTGTGATCAGGATAGTCTAGGGAAAATTAATTCTTCCTGCTAGAGTGGCAAATAATATTCTTCTGCCATTTCCCTGTACATCTCCCAGTACCAATATACCACGTATCTACATCAGGGCATAAGCCAAAGCTCACTGAACTCAGCTTCCAAGGTTTTAATCAGGTCCCTTCAAGACAGGCAAATCGGATTCTTAGGGCTCTGCCCCTTTTGCTAGAAGAGGAGATCTATCCTCGCTTGCACCACCACCAGTGTGATGCTACAAACCATCTGCAAAATGCTGAACCAGCTCTGTGAAGCTGTGACTAAGACATCTACCTCCGATATATCAAAGCTACTAGATTCTAGATTTCAGCTTAGACCTCCAACAGATGAGCTCTGCCAAGTCTTCCAAGGGCACCTCAAGGGATTAGGTTCCCCAGCTGCTCTGCTGTGCCTCTCTGACAGTGGTTACACATCCAGTAGCGAAACAGATCCCAAAGACACAAGACTGAACTGCAGCAGTTTCTCCAATTATAAGTAGCCGTCTCTGGTAGAAGGAAAACAATGCAACGATTGTCAGAGTTCATCTGGAAGAAATTACTATTTTGCAACTAAGAGCTTTGACTGTATTTTCTCCCCATTCAAGAAAATTATAGAAAACAAAACAGGGAATAACTATAAAGGTAACTGTGCTTTGCCTTTGGCAGCTGGAATATGTTTATCATAGGGGAAGGATTTGGCATTTAAACTTGCAGCTAAATAAAATTTCATTTGGATTTTGAAGAGTAGATTGCTTTTGATTATATGAAATTTACAAAGGAGAATAAATCCATTTTTTTCTTAATGGACTTTTTATTCAGAATTAAATGTTTTAAGACATGCAGATGTTGAATAAAATTATGCAAAACTCAGATTTTCAGTAAATGAAGTTTAAACCTGTGTTTGTGTTCTTCATTTTATAATGAAGGAAGAATGCTTTACCTATGAATATTTGCACCTTAATACTTACATTCCATATTACACCTGTAGTTTATTACACACAGAGAGAACAGCATAGCTTCCAGTTATGCAGGCAATAAGGTTAGGAGCAATTATGGGAAGACTAGTAGGTGCTGTCTTGTGCAAAATTACAGTAGAGGTCAAAAATACGACTCAGCCTAGTAAAGTTCTGTGTTCAAAGCAAGAGACAGTAAGACCCTCAGGCCAGCCTAAGTCAAGATAGCTTGGTATTAAATCAGCACCTGTGACTTTGGGAAACTATTTGTCTAGTTGAGTATTACTCGTTTGTTAGTAACTAAACAAAGTCCCAAGTTTCTCACCTCAAAAAAAAAGAGGAAATATTCCAAGGAACAGATTATGGGAATTTGTAAGCTTGTGATACACAGAAAGGCAGCAGCAAACTGACACTTGAGCTCAAAAAACACTTTACTGCTCTAAGCCAATGGCCATCTGTCCTCACAAACCCTTTTTAGCAAGGATTTTACAGAAGGTACTTTGTCTTGATACATTGTTCTAACTTGTGTGCATGTTTGTGCATTTCCATTTAACAGCAGTACATAAGTCACATGAAACTATGAGAAGAATTAAAAAGAAACCCGTATTTTTCAGCAGCAAACATCAACTGGCATCATTTGATGACCTGTTGAGTGCTTCCATTAATTCTTGTATTTTCCTCCTCTGAAGATTTATTTCACAACATAACGTAGGCAATTTCTGATTAGGTATAGTCAACATATTAAAAATAAACACCTAGGGAAAAATAGAAGGAAAGCATGTTTGTGCATTTCCATTTGACAGCAGTACATAAGTCACATGAAACTATGAGAAGAATTAAAAAGAAACCCGTATTTTTCAGCAGCAAACATCAACTGGCATCATTTGATGACCTGTTGAGTGCTTCCATTAATTCTTGTATTTTCCTCCTCTGAAGAAACAATTTATTTCACAACGTAGGCATTTTAATTTCTGATTAGGTATAGTCAACATATTAAAAATAAACACCTAGGGAAAAATAGAAGGAAAGCAGGAAAGTAGTATCACAGAATATCAAACTGTAGCAATTAAGAATCCCATAATATAAATTACTACTAGTTATATTATTATGTAATAATTTCACATTATTTGTAAGAGAATACGCAAGATCCCGAGACTAAAAGCTCAAAGTTTTGGAGCAGTTTTTTCAGCTTGATCAAGTAATACACATGACAAATGCGACCTTGTTTACCATTTCACAAGACTCCGAGAAACCTGGGCCTGTCCGGAAGCCTGCTAACCACATTGTTCAAATAATGAAACAGGAACTTCCTTTTTGTACTGTGTTTTGAATCGATGAAGTAGATATCATAAAATACAAAGGTACAACATTATGCTGCCAGATCGGGCAATTAATGGTAGAAGGAACAGCGGTTTGACTTGAAAAGGTACGTGAAAACTATCAGAAGCCGTTTTGGACGAAGACATCGGAAACGCATGCAAAAATTCCCTTCCCTGGTCTCTCGAAGTGTGCACTGTGAGAAGTGACACCTTCTGCCTTAACGTCTTCCTACGTACCGCGCAACACTGCTGTACCTCAGGCTGGCACAGGTCCCTTGCAGCTCGCACGCCCGGCAGCGCAGCACTTCCTTGTTTGCCTCGGCTCCTTCGTCGGGTCGCAGCACTGTCTTCAGGGTCCCTGACCATGTGGTACGGTGGTGAGACTCCCTTCCTAAAAGTTTTATTCAACCAGCCACAGCAATTACTTTTATTTTTCCTTTCCCGAGTATTTTTAAAATGAGTGTTTACATGGCAATCTGTCCTAAAGACTCATTATCCCCAAGTTAATTAAGACAGCCTGGAACTAAGCAGATTGAGCTGTATCTGATGTCTTTAAAAACTAACAGTTCCCGAGCCTTCCCTAGTTTCAAAGAACAATTCTCTTCGAGACCACTTCATTTTAAAACTTACCAACTTTTGGTGCAGACAGGAGACACACAACTCCTAGTTATTGCTGAGAAATGGCTTGATGTTAAGCCAGCTCTTCCTTTTTCATGCTTTCCCCCTGCTCCAGTAGTACCCTATCACAGAAACTCACTGCTCACACAGGAGGAATGCTAGTACAGAGGTAAGTGCCATATTTATAAGTCATTGCAGAGCAGATGTCTGCTAATAAGCTATATGCCTTTTGTATAAATTTGTTTTCAAACCTGACAATTTGCTTAAAGTAACTGTTAATTTTTATCACAAATAAAGATAGTAAGGGTAATAATAATTTTAAAAAATTTAATAGCAAACACACCTACACTGCTGAAGTTTCACCAAAGCATCTGAATTACACCATCTTCTCTCATGCTATCAATTGCTATAGCTGAGGACAGTTACTGAGACTTGGAACCCATACAGATCACAAGTCCCTTTCTTCCCTTAGTGTGTACCAAGTTTCTGGAAACAAGATATCCTTCTTCACTCTCCATGTGCTACCTGCCAAATTGGAATACAGGTGCATAAAGAAGGCATAGAGTTGCCAAGAGACAAGTTCTAAAAGCATGTATCTATAGTCTGTATCTTTATTTCAACATTATGTTAAAGGACCTGACATTAACCATCTAATTAAGGTCATTTTTCTATTATGCTGGAGGATTTCAGAGAGTGGTAAAAGTCAGTCAGGTCAAAAGATACCCATGACTGTCCAGACAAAAAGCTTCTGACAGTTCAATCAACCCCAGTTCCGAACAGTTAATGAGAAGACTCTTGATCACATTCTCTGGACAGTAAGAGGGCAGAACCAGACCCCACCGCCACCCCTCCAAAGCCCTGAGCACGCTTCAGCCATTACTCACTTATGCCGCCCCTCCTGAAACCGTTCTTTCCAGTCACGTCTCTCCCACAAAATGACACCACAAGACCGGGAAGAAGGAAGCGGGCTCGGGTACCAAGTGGCCAAACAAATGGGATTTCCCATTCTAAAGCTTCAGCACTTACCTCTGAATGACTGTGAGGCAGGTGAGCACCTACAATACCTGGGCTCATTACCACAAGCAAAGAAGAAAAAGCATGGCAGGAAAGAAGGCAAGGATTGAATTAGCTTTTTTTTTTCTTTTATAGTCCATCAACGGCTGTCTTTTAATAAGCATTTCACAGCCCACTAAAAAACTTCCTTAAAAAATAATAAATTCCCATTGTAATTAAATACATTCAAGTTGTTTCTCATTGTATTACTTGGACTTGTATATTTCTACATGTAAGTATACATATTACATACATACTTTTCTGCAACAAGCCAGTTAGCCTCCCTAGTCAGTTTGTCAGAGAGGACAGTTCTGAGTGTAGATTTTGTACAAAAAGCACCGTTCCCCCTAACCAAGGAACTCTGCATTGTCATCTTGATCAATTCCTAGTTCTACCTTATATTCTTCCCCCTTTTAGGCTCACCTTTTCCTCCTGCTACCACTACAAATGTATTTTAATATCCTACAGCCTGAAAGCCTTTCCAATTGTTCATTATTTCCCTTTCCCTGAATGTCCAACCATTGTTGATAGTCTCTAGGATTTTGCTATCTTCCTGCCTTCCAATCTCTGCTATCATGCAACCAATTTGTGAAGTTATAAATACCAAGTTAGAGCAAGCAGGTGAAAAACACGGAGTAGGCAACCTTAGTCATGTTCATAAATGAGAGAAACTGGTACGTAGCAGAGCAGTAACTGTCATTTTGGATGATGAAACGAGTGAATGCAATAATAGCGACAGTTTTGTGAGTATTCATTAGGGAATGGCAGAGCACAAATGAAGTACTTTGAAATGGTGCTTACAGAAGAACAAACTTTATTTAGAGCAAGATAGAACTATTAATTAGCTTCTTGCTATAAAGCAGTTTTTGAAGGAAATGAGCTTATTGGAGAAAGACTGCAGACATCAAGATTGCAAGTTAAAGCTCCCACACTGGACATTAAGTAAACAGAAGATGAGGAAACCAAAACCACATGGAAGTCAGCCAATGCCAAACACGGAATAGCTAATAATGGGAAGAGAACAGAACATCATCAAATTCAGAAGCTGGAAACATAAATTAGAACAAATGAAAAAAAATACATACTGGTGAAGTAATATCAGTATACAGGAGAAAGATGATATGAAAAGAGCCACATGAGCTATAGCTGTATTTGAAAAACCAGTATCTGCAAGGCAAAATATTTTGGTATCAATGAAAACAAGAACAACAGTTGATGTCGTGGTATATGGATCTCAATGCTAGAATATGAAAAAACCTGATTAAAAAATAGCAGAGATGAGATAACTGAGAGGAACAATTAAGGGAATCAAAAAAGCAAAACAGATAAAAACATTCTGACAATACAAAAATCTTCTGTTTCATTGTTGCTAACGGTAAGAGAAAGAGACTAGCAAAAGCATTGAGTTCTGAGCTTATTCTCAGACTGGGCACAGCTTCTACTCGTGCTCGTCTTTTGCTTTTCTTTCTATTGCCCTGCACTATCTTTTCTAGAAGATGGTCATTTCCCTTTCAACTTTCTTCAGGGACTCCAAAAGGAGTCTCTTCTCCCCTTTCTCTACTTCATACCTCACCTATAGATGACCCAATTTACAAAAAAAAGAAATCAACTTTTCTACAGACTTTAGGTTCACAACTCTGATTTTTTCCTCATGCACCACTGTTTTTCTGACCAAGCTAGGGTCTCAAGAGATCCGACACCTCCACATGGGTGTTTAGCCATCAGCTTAAGTTCAGCATCAACTAAACACGACACACCATCCTAAACCCTTCTCTCCATTTCTAGAAAATATCATTTTCTGCCATCATACCCTTAATTGCAGTGTTACTTTTCATTCAGGCAAATGTGAGGGAACTAGGTTAAGTGACACAATTTAAAGCCTGAAAATGTTACCTGCATAGCATTTGCAAGATTCATCCTCTTCCCTCTGTGCACAGAACTGATGCTCCTGTCCAG